AAGTAGTCATTGACAGGCAGGACGTTGTAGCAGATAATTTTGTGTACTATGCTTAGGTTAGACTCAAGGTGGCGTAGTTCTAGGTTGTCCAAGTCCAAAATTTCAAGCCTGGTAGCATAAGGTATTCTGTTGCGAGCAGAGGAGTGGAGGACTCTTCTCGTGAAATACCTCTGGACTCGCTCAATTGTGTTAATGTTCTCTTCCTAGAGGTCTTCTTCTTTCTTCTTACTGTGTTTCCCCAAAAATAAGATAGGATCTTATTTTCTTTTGACCCCCGACATAAGTGCTTGGCCTTATTTTCGAGGAGGTCTTATTATTTTTGAGGTGCAGGAGGTGGTGAGCGTGGTCACCTCATGGCTGCTGCTGTGTTGCAATATTTTCGGGGAGGGCTTATTTTTGTGGAAGGATTATTTTTAGCACATATGCTCAAAAGCCCACAAAATCAAATTGATGTCAAAGGATGAATATGCTGGTTGCCCTTTCATCAATCAAAAAGGAGATATGCTTTGTCTGAAGCAAATGTAGACTTGGACTTGGTCATTTTCTTGGCCACAATGTGGAACTTGCTTTCCTTTGTCTTTTCCAGGAAACTTTTGAAACTTCCCATTCTCTGTTACACCTTGATATTCCTAGGATGCCTCCAAGCCAAGTATTAACTTGGGTCAATATAATTTCCTGAGTCAGACGAGAACAGGCATTCTGCCACTTATTGGGAAGAGGTAGTACACATGACTCAAGGAAAATTAAGTCCCACTGAGTTTCTTATGGGTGGTTTCCACATAGTGGCAGCCTAAGTGAGAATTTGAATTCACACAATACATTAAATCATAATGCAATGTATTGTATTTGGAACAGCCATTATGCAAAGACTGCTGTTTGTATAATTATTCAATAAGCAACTAAAGTAAATAAGGTCTTAATATATGAGCCTTGTTAGTAATTCAGGACCTCTGTAATTTACACTGTGAAAGTGAGCAAAGCTATGCTTATCATATATCATCATTTCCCACTGCTTCCTTCTAGATGGGATGGGATTATCATTTTCAGAATTTCTGAACAATATAGGTGAATGATCTTTTCAACTTATTTCTGAACCCTTGGGAAACTACTAGGTTGGATAGGCTTGCCAGTAAGATGTGGTGGTGGGTGGGAGAAAAAATTAAACAAGCAGATCTGAGGTTCAGAGAAAGACAGTGGGGATAGTAATAAGATCAGGAATTAAGGGCAAATCCACATTGCCTTCTTATTCTGGGGTAAAAAAGCCCATTACCCATTTACTAATCATAGTTCTGCCTGTATCTTTTTGTTTCTTGATGTCTTCCTTCAGCTGAGATAGCCTAAGACAACTTAAGGTGTCACGTTCTTATGTTTGCCCTAATATGCCAACTCAAGATGCTATATGCAAATAATAGAGGGTATGCTGTGCTGACTTATATGAAGGTGGTGGCCTAACATGATGCACTCCATGCTGGCAATGTTGTAGCTCCAATTTATACTTCCAGTTTCTGTAGGAGCACCACTTCAGATTGGCCCCTGATCTCTTCATTACACCCCCCCCCATCTTTTGGGAGTTGCAAAAATGCTCAAAACTCTGGCTTTCAAAGCTCCTGTAATTTCTTTTTTAATGGCATTGGTCAGCTGGTCAGGATAGAGAGAGTGAAGACATGAAATTCATCAGCCCATGCATGACTTAACATAAATAATTGAAAATGCAATAGAATAGGTTTAGCTCTAGTATTTCAGCACATTGTTATGGAGACACAATGATGACTCTCAGAGGTCATTGCAAGGTTTAGGGCATCATGTTAAATCAGATATAGGAGGAAAACTGTGTGAATATGGCAATGAGGGTGCTCAGAAGAGCAGAAATTAAGTCCCACAAGGAAAAATTGGATTAATTTGATATTTTTAGGATTCAGAAGACTGAGAGGTTCAAAAAAGGACTCCCTCAAATCAAGCTTGGTTCTTGATGATTACATCCCTGAGGTTTTCTGGCAACAGTTTGGATGTTTGTCATTACATTGTTGTGGGCTAAAAAAAAAGTTATAACCTGACTGTTTGCTTACATAATTACCCTACATTCCAGTACACCCAGGAGTCTTAATACATTGAAGCTGATAGTAAATTAACCCCATTCTGGATTTGTGCAACACATAAAATAACTAAAGCCTGCCTTGAGCAACAAGAGGCCTTATATAGAACACGTTGCAATAATCCAGGTGGATGATGATAAGAACTTTAGTCAATATGATTTGTGGCATCTTTTCAAAGCTTTCCACGTCAAGAAACAGCAGTTTTGACTTACTTATTTGTTTAAGTATACCAATCACATAACCATGACCTAGGTAGCGCACAGAAGATTAAACCAAAAAAACATCATACAGCAATAAAAACCTAAGATAGTGATGATCGTAATACATAACATATGCCTGGGCCTAAAAATTCCAACATTTATAAACCAGTTAGGGCATGATAAACAGAATTTGGAAAGCTTGTTAATGCTCCTTTCTACTTTAACTTGCATCAAACATAATTAGTTCAGGTGACTTGATGAAAGCATTGCCTGGAGCAAAACCTGTTTTGCTTTGCTAGGTTAATGCAATAGCAAACAACAACAACAACAACAACAACAACAACAACAACAAAACAATCCCAAGAAACGAGGTTGCTGCATCTTGAATAAAAATCTATAAACCTGAAAGCCCTCATGAGTGTGTGTGTGTGTGTGTGTCTGTATGTGCTCTTCACCTGAGAGGAGTTATTCTGTGTGCCCACAGCCCATGAAATGGGAACTGGAGGCAGCCTCCACCATCCTTGCTGATCTGGAAGCCATTGGAAATAATCCCATTCCCCAGGGCTCAGAGTCCAATTAGATGTGGGTGTGTCATGTTTTAGCTTTTTATCAATTTGCTTAATTATTTTTTACTTTCAAACTGAGATTTTAAGATGGTTTCTTTAGATGGAT